CCCCTTCTTTTCATCTCTGGTAAGGAGCTTCTCAAACCATGCTTCCAGGCTCCATCTTACATGGACTCCATAACGAGCCACTGCAAATTATGACAACAGAGTATTACCATTTCAATCCATTCAGTAGGCACACGTTTCAAAGTCAGGTAACACCAATAATGGTGAAGACATGGGGCCATGGTGTTCCCAAATACATAGTGTTCTCCACTGGGAACAGGTGGGGAGCTCAGACCGTGAGTGTGAATGCCATTTCTGAGCTGTGACATATCTATTTAGGTAAATAATCTCTCACATGTAGAAAAGTTGGAAATGTCAGTACCCTTGGACCCAACTACTCTATTGCCACCTGGGTAACCCAGAAAGACACTCACATGAGGGCAAAAGACAACAGACAAGTACAAGAGGGTCAGGACAACATGTTCTTGCGGAGAGATTGGGGCAGGAGTGGGGGGTGGGGCCCTAAAAAACAAAGCCCACCCAACCCCTTGTCATAGAGGGCACTCTGACTCATACTGATCCAATGTACAACAGAGCCAACATTGCCTTGTCCTGTGCCAACCTTACCACTGTTGTTAGGTTTGAACCCATTGTTGTAGTCACTGCCTGCTTTTGCACTGACCCTCAACTTGACCAAGCTTTATGTCCTTCCCCAGTTACTGACCCCTCCTGATAACAGTATGTGAGAAGAAGTCCCACCACCCTTGATTCTAAGGGTGGAGTATATGGGCTGTACTTCATACAACACAGCTTTGTGTGTCCTTCTAGCAGTCCATACCCAAACCAAGCTCACTGCCATCCAGTCAGTGTTGACTGAGAGCAATCCCCACCTGTGGGTTTCTGAAACTGTAACTGTTTACAGGAGTAGAAAATCCAGTCTTTTTCCCACAGAGCTGCTGGTGATTTCGATCGGCCGACCATTTGGATCACAGCCCAGTGGGTCACCACTACATCAGGGCTCCTACAATACTTTCAGTATTCCCTGCCAATACCATAAATTAAATGCATCAGTTCATCAGAGGTCTTCCTTATTCCCATGCATCTGAGGCAGTTGAAAGTACTGTGGCTTGGTTGGATCAGGCACACTTTAGTCTGCCAAGTGACAGCTTTGCTCTTTAAAACTACATAGGTCAGATTTGCCCAATATAAGACATCGTTGATTTCTTGACTGCTGTTTCCATGAGCATCGAATCCAAGTAAAATGAAATCCCTGACAACATCAATCTTTTCTCCGTTCATCATGATGTTATCTATTGATTCAGTTGTGAGGGTTGTATCTATTTTTTCTTTGAACTGAGTTGCAATCCATCCTGAAGCTACTGTCTTTATTTCCACTTGAGTAAAACTGGCTTTAAAAAAATGCTTGAAGGTAAACAAGCAGCCATCTATCAGGGAAACAAGAAAGCCCACATGGAAGAAACACACCAGCCAGTGTGAACACAGGGTGTTCAAGTTGGGATCAGGTATCAGGCATCAGAAGACCCAAAACA